AAAATAATAATATTAAGATTTATTTAATTACTTTATATAATTTATTAAAAAGTTATTGATAGCATTAGAGCTCATTTGCATGTAAAAATATTTGCCAACAACTGTGAAATTATTAAAGAATGTCGTGATGATTTCACGATTAATATAATTCTAAAATATTTCCGTGATAATCAAGAATGTCAAGGTTAAATAAACAGTTCGCTGCAGTTATCGCAAATGCCATTCTTCATCGATCAAGATAACAGTGATTTGTCGCAAAAACACAACACTATACTACTAAATTGTGACACGATAGCGAGATAAACCATGTGTTTTGAAATTGACAGATAGATAACTCGATCGTTGCGCAATTTCTATCATTTGCAAGATAAGCTTGCACGCGGCTGCGAATATAACACACAAAAAAACTTGCACAGAAGCAAGCTTTGTGAGCGAAATAAAAATTAAAATAATTTCTTTCACCGATTCTCACTAAATTCAACATTATATTTTATATAAATATATTTCTGTCTATGCTTGCAGCCGAGAGAGATGCGAGACCTTTTGCACCCAGCTGTTTCCTCGTGGCGACATCGCGCGGTAGATCGCCAACTCGATACACACATTCCGAGCCGACAATCTCTCGTTCCGACAATGTGGGGGTCCGAAATCTCGAAATGCAGTAAACATCGAGGCGAGATTCGCTCGTCAAATCGATCAAACGCACTTTCGCTCGCTCCTTCCTCAATCACGCGAAACGCCACGGACGTGTCTCGCGAGACGCAAAAAAAAAATGTTTACTTATCGCGCGGCGCGATAAGATATAATTGAAATGCGCGCTGTTCCGGGTCCCGTAACACCGAGCTTGTCAATTTTCCATCAATCTCGCTTTCGCGAGATTTAACGGCACGTGTTCCCGCGCGACGACGCGTCGACGAAACTCGCCGACAGGCGAGCCGACGATATCGTCGCTAATAAGTGTCGCAAAAAAAAAGGAACTGCGTGGGAAACGGCCTGGGTGCGAGGTTCGCTCGCTCGCGGTTTGTCTTGTTTATCTTAATACGATTGGATTTCGTCACTCACCGACTCATCGGGATCCAGCGGAGTCTGTCGCACGCACAGCGGTCGGATGCGTTTCCCTCCCTCGTCCCAGGAACTGCGAAAACACGGGAAAGATTCACTTGTCGTTGGTTAAAGGTATCGCGACGGCGGCCATACTGATGTCGACCCGCGTGACTCGCGCGAAGCTCGCGAGATGGCGCTGCGCGCCACGCGCTCGGTAAATAACAGAATCTCTGGTGATGAGACTCTCCGAATGATTTCATTTTTATTATATATACATATATATATGCTATATCAAACCAGTTATAAAGTGCAATAAAAATAAAACTGACTGATACACGAGAAATGACTCATACATAAATATGCGACTATGAAAATATCATACATTATTCAAATAATAGAAAATGTATATTTAATATTTTTAAAAATATCATTTAAACACACACATTACATACTTGATCAATATTACTTTTAAATATTATTTATACATCTTTTAATGGCTGTGCATAACGAGTTAAATATATATATTAATGTTTTAGCATACACGTTATTTATCAGGAAAAATTAAATATTAAAGACACATAAATATATGTATACATA